TCACTTGGTTTTCAGTATTAATTGGCAACTTTTAAGGTCATAGAGCAACTGAACAGTATTTCTGTAGTCTTCTGCACAAATTCTGTATATGGAACCTCAGCTTGCAGTGACTCTACATTTAGATCATGTCATGATAGAATCATCTGTGGTTTTTAAGGGAAAAGGAAGTGAATGGACTATTATAAATACATATCTAAATATATTTTATCTTTTTGTAATACTGTAATTAAAACCTGTAGCTCTCACTTGATGAACTTTTTCCTACTTGTTCTTAGTGCCGAAAATTGAAGGAAAAGAAAAACCCATAGTCAGTTATGAAGGAGATACAGCTGTAATGACTTGTAAAAGTTTTGGCTATACTCCTATTGGTTGGACCTGGTATGTGACCAATGGAAGTGAACAGGTAAGGTTTCCATCTGTTGGCCAAGCAAAACAATGTGGCAAAACCCAAGTACAAACACTCTGTAAAGTGTAATGACTCTTCACTGTGGGCTTTACAAATTGCATTTACATTTACATAAAGTTAATGTAAGTCTTTTTACATGGGGGAAAAAATAAATCTGTGACATCTAGAACTATTCATTATTACAGGGATGTAGTTTTTGTTCTGGTTTGTATAATGTTTCTTTTCTAAGTAGTCCTGCCATACTCTTACAGCCCAGATAAGAGTAAAACAAATCAGGCAAGTCTTGAGATACTTCTTTTTACTGTATTAATGATGGTCATATTGTTCAAATCTTAGTACTTAATACCAAAAAAAAATCTTATCATAGCAGGACAATTCTAAAGACATGTAAGGTATTGGAGGCTTGAGGGAGAACAGGTGCATGTCCCTTCTCTTCCTCCTTGTAGAAGTCATTCTGTGTTCCCCAGCCTGTGTGACTTCTCTGGGGCACTGAACCTGAAGGAAGTCATCCCATGGAGGAGACTGCTATGCCACTTGATTCTGAAGAAGCTGAAATCTCTTCTCACTTCAGCTCTTGACTTAAAGGCTGCGAGGAAAAATCTTTCTCAGTGGTTTCCTTCCTTCACATACCCACCTTTCAGCATCTGCCTTAGCCTTGGAAGAATAGCCACTTTATTCTAGCTCTTTTCTGGGGGAAGCACTGTCAGCTGAGAGGGGGTGAACAGATCTGTGTCCTCCATGCTGCTGGAGAGTAGCACTGACTTGTAAGGCTACCAACATATTTCCTAGTGAAGCAGCATTCCCGGTTCAGCTTCCTTGACTTCCTTGTAAGGGTATGCTTGGTGCTGTGGTGAAACCTGGACATTAGATCCTGACACCTGAGGCTGCCTTTGTTAGTGGAAAGTCAACAGAGTCAAGGGTATGTTTCATCTGATCTTAAATAGAGTAAAAAGATCAGACAACTTGCTCACTAAAGGTGTGTATCTTCCTCCATTGAATGTAAAGGAACCCAGGGTGGCCAGCTAAGATAAAACCTTCCATTGGAGGTGGACTAAACATGCTTCACAAATGCCACTTGTTCGTAACTCATTTTACTTCTCTTGATATAGAACTTATCTGTTGATAATATAAATAATTTGATTAAACATGTTCTTATTGCATTGATAAGACTGGTAATGTATTTTTTATTTTCAGATTGCCATTAATGACACTTTGCTGGCAGACAAGTATGTAATTAATAGAATATCTTCCAATGTGACACATCTGAAGATACTGAAGCTCACCAAGGAAGACGATGGTGTATATTGGTGTGAAGCTGCTTTTGAATTAGGGAAAAGTAAAGGAAAGCTGAAGCTTAAAGTTTTATCCCTCATGGTGCCTCTCAAACCCTTTCTAGCAATCATGGCTGAAGTTGTTATTTTAGTAACTATTGTTTTCCTTTATGAGATGTATTCAAAAAAGAAAGAGAAATGTGCAGGTAAGTCTTTTTGATCTTTTCCTAGCTTTCCATTGAAATGGCAGCTAAAGGTAGAAAGGCATGACCCATAGCAGCACTTTATGTCTGAAGTTCAGTGTGATTTTTCACATTTGTATTTTTTCTGGTAAAATAATTCCTTCTAGAACACTGCATTATTTTAGATTTTTAAACCTCTTCCATAAGCCTGGAATTCGGGTACAAAGTGCTTTCAGTAAGCAATACTTTCCCATAAAGGGTTTGATATGGTCCTTATTTTTTTCCTTACAAGACAAAGGAATTTAAAGGCTATACTTCTTGGGGGAATGCATAAGAATGGAAGCAACTGTTAGTACTCTTGATGGCAGAAACTTCTGTCAAGAAACTGAGTATGAAGGAAAAATGCATTGAAACAGAATGCACTAATGGCTGCT